TTCCACTAGAGATGGAATCAGTGGCTCTTCTAAATCTCGTTGGACTTAAATTTCCATCAGGCCTGGCCAGAATGGTCAAGAAGAGTCAGGAATGATGGGCGTTGCCCTACAATATCTGGAGGGCCAAGGGCTCCCCGTGCCGGCATTACATTCAAAATAGCGTGTTGTTTTGATGGCTTTTTCATTGTCTCAGCTGCTGTATTATAAAAGAAATGAAAAGAAACTCCTCAGCTTGAACATTCTCAAAGGCTTCCAGTTCGTCCTTTGCCCCTGAGGTCTGCTTGGAGAGTTTTGGGGTTCTAGTTGGAAACCAGAGTAGATCCGACAAACCTGAGGTTTCCATATCCTCATTTTAGCATGTTTAGGGATGGAAGCTTAAAGTGCAGCTGCATTTACTATTTACTCTGCAGTTTACGTTGGATTTAGTACCGATGAAATTGACGTAAAACCCAGCGAATACATGACATAAAGCTAAGAGTAGGAAGCCCGGTCGTTTTCCATGGGTACTCATTACTTTTTGTTTACCTGGCACAGGGCAATTTGTCTTCCTCCAATTTGGCTAGTGTTGCCTTTCTCCGCTTTCTGGCTTAAGTGATTATCTGATCCAATGCAAAGGGGCAGCTATGGGAGGATCAGTGTCCCCCAGCCGAGTGCATAGATCAGTGCTATGTCACATTGGATAAATCACTAAATTAAAAGAGAGCAGAAGGAAGGGATGGTCCTAGTGAAAACTGCTGATCTCAGCAAAGATTGCTCTTTTCCTCACAGTAACTGTTTTCTGCCTTTGCCCCATGGATAATACACCCCCAATGCAACACAGTAATTGTTTTGGTGCAGGTGACAGCAAATTCACAGAAACAACCAGGGACTTGGTTTGAGAAATATTGACGAAAATCGGGTCTCCCACCTGCACCCCTGGTGGTCACACCCTAGTCTCCTTGGTAGAAATATGCATACTTTTCCCATAATCTCTCAGTGATTCCTACTAATAAACAGTGTCACCTAGTGGCAAACAGCTGAATCAAAGTTGACTTCATAAATTCATCTGTCACAGTCTGTCCATTGAGTTTAGCCTTACCTGGTATTTAGCAATCTCAAAATTATAAGCCACTGTAATTAATACCTGTGGAATGCATGATTCAATCCTTGTGCCTGCAATTATATACTGAACACAAGATGTTCTCCTACCTCTGAAAGCTTACCAAGAGTCTTTGCTGTGTTCTTTTAGTCAAAGGTGTTTATTGCTTAAGAGTTCTACAGTTCCACTGGACTTGCAAAAACATTAATTGCTACCATGATCATATGAAACCTTGGTCATTTGCTACTGGCACCACTTGGGTTATAAAGTATTTGCTGTCAGACAGCAGCTAATAACCAATACATATGAAATGCATGATGACCTTCAGACTTCAAAAAGGACACTAAGGTTGAATATCAGGGTTCATGGGACAAAGGGTGGAATCTGACAGTGGGAAATATTCCCTTGATTTTAGTACAGTGTGAACTGTGCCTTATCCCTTAAGTACTTTTTAAAAATCCACAGCAAAATAGCAATGAAACATTGGGATAGACATAAGCCCATTCTCTGAATTTTATGTTTTCATTAAGCACACACCAAAAGTATTTAGTTCTAGTGGAGAATCAGGGTGATGTAGTGGACTGAGACTTGGGAAGTGAAGGTTCTCTGAGGAATTGGACTCGTCCATGGAAGCTCACATTAAAACACAGCACTTAGTCTTTAAGATTCCATGGGCATTTTTTGTCTTTTTTTGTTTTTTCTTGGTATGCTAGCATACATGAACATGGCTAATAGTTCTGTTTCTTATGCAGATATATAATAATTATTTAAACTGCAGAGCTGGAAAGGACCCTATGGATCATCGAGTTCAGCCCGTCAAGCAAGCACCGTGGGGAATCAAACTCCCAACCTCTTGCTCCACAGCCAGATGCCTAAACCACTGAGCTATCCAGCAGTTGGGGAAAAAAGTATGCTGGCAGCATTCTTCCCATTAACAATTAAAAATATACTCCTGCTTTCAACTGTTCTTGCCAATGAATGGAAAAAAGATAACTGGCTGCAAAGAAGCACATGTCTTAAACGTCTTGTGTTATTTTATTTTCGGCTTAGTATAGTGAGAAACCATTTGTATAAATGTCTCAGTCACTGTTTTAGCACCTTCCCAAGGCTTTCCTTTATAAAATGAGTGGGCATAGGTTTTTAAGCTTGTTTTACACAAGAAATAAAAGCCAGAAGACCACAACTGGTTTGGGTATTTCAGAATTAATATAGGCTTCGACATTATATGCACATAAACCAGCTTGTCTCGGGAAAGCAGTGTTTATGCTTGGAAATCATGAAATAAATAAAAAAACAGGCTTGATGTTTTTACTCAGTATTTTGATTTCTGATCCTATATTTTCTGCCATTATGCTAAAGTGTCCTACTCTACACTCATAAGAGCTAGAAACCCAGCTTTTAAAAGCCTGGAAAACTAAAGCATTCTAAAGTAATGGGGGAAAGGCAAAGTACTGTAGCATTTTAAAGACTAACAGATGTATTTCAGTGAGTCTTTGTGGATCATAATCCAGTTCAGACACAGGGAGTGCTCATACTGAAATTAATCTGTTGATCTTTGAAATGTCAGAGTTTTGCCTTTTTCACCTTTATTTTTGCCAACATGCTGAAACAGACTAACACAACCACCTTTGTGAAGAATTCTAAGAATCCAGATTCCATGACAATGAAGAACTCAAAGCAAAATAAATAGGACCTGGTTAATCAGAGTCATTTGTTTGGCCTATGCTTCATCCTCAGTCCTGACTACTACAGTCCTATTCAGGTGTTAAGCCTAAAAACTAATGTAGGGCTCATTGGATGGTGGGCATGTGGACAGATATGTAAGCCTAACCTCTCGCCTCCCCACTGCTGCCGGCGGTGATTTTAGGCTGCTAAAGACTTACATGATGTCTTGAGGCCTCTAAAGTGGTTCCCAACCTTGGGACCCCAGATGTTCTTGGACTGCAACACTCAGACACCTTCACCACTAGTTGTACTGGCTAACATTTCTGGGACTTGTAAGTCCAAGAACATATGGCAAACCTAAGTTGGGACCCACTGGTCTAAAGGCTTCTTGAGGGCAAAAGGAACCCTAAGGAGTTCAGAACCTTAAGGGAGGTGGGAAGGACAGAATGCTTTCAATTAATTTAATGTTACTGTCATAGGATGACATCATTCTACTTGGGTGTTGTAAAGCTGTGAAAGATGACTTCGGACAGTTTATCTATATGATCTATATACTGTACTACCTCTTCTAAATTGTTTTATCATGCACAATCAATGTAGATGTGCCGTTGCTTCTTGACTTTAGAACCAGGATGGCACTGGAGATTAAAAGAGAAGCTCTAAACAAACAAATGCTGTAATGAACATTCAAAGGAGGGAAAACTAGCGTTACGGAGTTTCCTCCTCTGCCATCGTACAAAGAACCACTTAGCCTGGATCTGACTCCATGCTTATTTTGCATGTGAAATATGCACTGCAGAACTTCTGAAAACATGCATATACCACATCCTTCACATCTATAATACAACCATTTAGTACTCTAGTTTTCATTTCCTTTGTAAAATACCTACAATCGCACAGTCTAGATTTACAAATAAGAACAATGAGCTAAAACACTGCATGCTATTGTTAAAAAAGGACATACACAATTAAAACTATTAAAATTTCGTTCATAAGTTTCTTCGATCAGAATATTTGGAAAAGGGTAAGTCTATTAAAGCAAAAATAAATTAATTTCAAAGACTTGCTGAACTAGTCAGGGTACACTATTATTAAAACTACCATATTACAGAACACATTGGTCAAGAACCTCTGAGCTGCCTCTATATTCTCACTTTTTTTTAAAAAAAGAATTAAACATGGTCATATAACACAAGCATATAAATTCATAGGCACTGTTCATTCTTGCCCAAATGATTCATTTTACAGCATTATCAATATTAACTTTGTATGAGTAATCTGTTTTCCCTGTGTGAACCAGGTTAAGTCAGTCCTGTCAAACCTTATTTCATCACCTTGAAAATCTACATTTGGAAGTACAGCACTCATTTGTTCACGAGTGAACCACTTGTAACTTAAGAACCTTGATTTTCCAAAGTAATTATTCTTGTTAAAATAAAAAGGAAGTATGCGTATTTCAGATTTGTTGCGAAAACAGGACCTTATGGAAGATATTACCCTATCCAAAGCAGGCAAAGGACAGTATTTGGAATGTTTCCTCATAATGTAAAAATTAAATCCCCCATTTTCTACTTGCCTGGCTCAGCTGCCCCACATATAAACAGAAACAATTTGTCAGCAGGAAAGTGCAGGCTTGTTTGCCAAGAGAAGTATAGATGGATTCAAAGGTCCCTTCTTTCTGTAGCCAACTGAGTGCAACTACAGAACTTCAACTTTTCCTTTATCCAAAAGTGCTCCAGCATCACTGATGTCCCCTTATATCCTTTATCTCTTAAAAATTCAAAAAGCATTTCTTTTAGCAAAGTAATAGGGCTTCACTTCCTCTTCAGCAGCTGGAATGAATTTGGGTACTATCTGGTAACCCAATAGGCTTCCAATTTCTAATTATGCTGGACAAACGATGGGCTCCCTTTATTACTGCAGTACAGCAGCAAGCTTGGAAGAAACTAGTGGAGATTTCATGGGGCAAACAAGGAAAGGGTGAAATGAAGAAAGGAGTAAGAGAAACACTTGGGAGTCTAGTGGCTTTCCATCCCAACTCAAATTTACTATCAGAATATTATTCTAAATAATATTTAGACTTGAACCATGTTAACATTAGTATTCATCATTTCATACCTTTAGAGTAGTTCCAACACTGAGATCAGAAAATTTTTTTTACAGCTCACCAACTTTTTGTTAAAAATTATTTGACACTAAATTGGGCAGGAACTTGTTTTTATATGATAGTTTAATGAGGTATTCGGCAGATAGTAACAACAGTTCTATAATTTTATTTCTTTGTAAAAAAATTTACACATGCAGACTAAAACCAGTGTAAGAAAGTATCCACCATTATTTTAAACAAATAACTATACTTAAATAGAAATGTCTGCAATATGTTTGTATAAAAATAACGTACATTTTTTACAGAAACAGATTCTCCAGTTTTCATATTGATACAACAACTCTAAACACATACAATTTAACCTGATCTCCTTTTCTTTAAATCAGTATGATACTGCTAAGGTATTGTGAGTGCAAAATTCAACAGTTCTTTAAAAAATGAATCCTACATATTGAAGGTCTGAGTTTCAAATAAAATTCTAAATAACTTCTTTTCAAGTCTGAAACAGTCTTATACATTGTATAACATCCAAACATAACTAACAGGCTGTGTCTGCCCCAGTTAGCGCCTGTGCCGGCTATGTCCTCCTGAACGGCTACTATTGTGGTGCTTGCTCTTATGTGATCTTTCAAATGAGCGAGATCTCTCCCGCCTGTCCCTGTGGTGTCCTCGTTCATGCCTGTGTTTCTTGGTAACATCTGTATGGTCTCTGGTTTTGCTCTGAGAACGTGAACGAGACTTTTTTCGTTTGTGACCATGTCTATTTACACTTTTCAAGTCTTCTCTACTGTGCTTGGGTTTCAGGTGTGGTGATCCATGATTGTGATGCCTCCTAGGACTGCCACTGTGACTACGAGATCTGCTTCTGGATCTTGAGCTGTATGTTCCAGACAGGCTCCGCCTATTGTTATAACTTAAAAACACAGATATTAAAGGCTTTAAAAGTTGCTATACAAAACAGAGTTCTAATGCTTACAATCTGTTCGACAACATTAAACCTACTGTTCATTAAACTAGTACAAGCCATCATTCTAGATTTAGTTTGTTAAAAGAAAAACTGCATTCAATGGAATATTTCTTACAACATTCACTATGAGATATAAAATGAGGCTATTAATGAAAAATATTACATAGTGCCATCTATCCATTCAAAGCTATTACTATTTTTATTCTATCGCATTGTTGTCCCCAGCATAATGTTAAAATAAATATGAAAACAGTTGAAATAAAAGCAATTTAAAAGCACAATAAATATGGGCACCAATCCTTTAAAAGTGCCTTTCTTAGAAACTGTTAGCTGACAAGCTTGATTGAATAAAAGGGCAGCCAGCCAGAAAAGTCTTGGACTACTCCATGTTGTAAGAGGAGCTGTTGTCCCCATTAAAGATCCCAGAGAGATCTTGAAAGCCCAGATGATCTCATATGGGACAATATGATCCTTCAGCTAGACTAGCTCCAACCCATATAAAATATATAAACTTCTAGAGACAAGCAAATCATGTAGTGCTTCTTCCTGACTATAACTCTATTGCGCAGCAATGGATTGAAATGGAGATGATATCATCAGCAGTAAATCACCCAATTAAAAGCTTCCTTTGGGGATTTCAGGGTGAATGCAGTTTCACTGCCGTACATGTCACCGGTGCCCAGTAACTGCCTTTTATCAATGGTGAATTACCTCTAATCAGTGGCAGTTTGCCACATATGAACACCACCCATGCATAGCTGTGCAACAAGCAGAAGAACAGAACTAAATGCAGCAGACAGGCCACACACTACACATAAGAACAGAAGGACATACTATGTTTCTTTTTCTGATTATGCACTAAATATTTCAAAAATACTCACTGCCTTCTTGGAGAATGGGACCTGGACCGTGACTTTGTCCTTGACTTTGATCGACTCACACTTCTGCTGCTTCTACTTCTTTTGCTCTCTTTTCTCATACTGGGTCAAAATAAGAGTAAATGCTGCATCAATTGCGTAGAATGCAACAGCAGGCAGTTTAGAATGAACTGTACAGCTCAGCATCTGACAATGTATTTACAAAACATGATTACTCACCCATTGTATGGGCTCTTAGAAACCACCTGCCTGTCTTCTGGCTCTTTTTTAACAGCTTTTGCATTGATACACACTGGAGACTTATCTTCTATTTTCATTTCTCTTGGTGAACCTAAGGGGGAAAACACAATTACATATACTCAAGTGACAAAATATTTAACTTTTCCCTTAGTGAATATAAGTTTCTGCAAAATGGCATCAAATGTCAAGAATGTTTTGCTGATGACTGCATTAAAGTTAGCTTCTCCTGAGATACTGTTTTGTACATACTACCACCTTGCTTCCTACAATTTATTTAGCATTTCTGGCAACAAAACTATATTCCTTAAACTATGACAACAAAGCAGATCCAAGTTCAAGAGTACTATTCATCCCACACTCAACAGCCAAGTGATATATAAAGGCATGCTGTGGTTGATAATAGAAATGATAGACGACCATGCTAGTTAGTAGCTACTGATGCTCCTAATATCCATAAATGCAGTGGTGCCTTGACTTACGAATTTACCGTATTTTTCCATATATAAGACGCCCCCCCTCCACTTTTCTAACAAGTGTAGGGGAAAGGGATCAAAGTGCTGCAGGATCGCTTTGATCCCTGCTTTCCCCACCACTTGTTTTTGTTCTCTCCTCAGCTTACTTCCATGTATAAGACGACCCTCAATTTTTAGTCTAAAGATTTTAGACAAAAGTATAGTTTGATACATGGAAAAATACTGTAATTGGTTCCATAACTCCAGTTGTAACTTGAAATGGTCGTAAATCAAAGCACCATACACTGAAATGCAATTAATCCGTTCTGGCCGAAGGGGGAAAAACCACACACAAAAACTCATTGCAAGACCCATTGGAAACGTGATTAATCCATTCTGGCCGAAGGGGAGGGGAAAAAAGAAAAGTGTACAAGACCCATTGGAAACGCAAAACAACCCAAAGCAGAAAGCAAGGAAAGCATGCAAGACCCATCAGAAATGCAAAAAAAAAAAACAACAACAACAAAAAAAACAAAACAAAAACAAAAAACACAAAAAAACAAAAACAAAAAAAAACACCAAAGCAGAAAGCAAGCAAGCCCCGCAAGACCCATCGGAAATGGGGGAAAAACCCCCAAAAGCAAGCAAATCCTGCAAGACCCATCGGAAATGGGGAAAAACCGAAAAAAGCAAGGAAACCCCCTAAGACCCATCACAGCACAGAAACATAACCCACCAGTCCAAAACCACCCTGCAAAACCCACCCAAAAGTTTTTAAAAAGCAGAAAGCAGCACCTTACCTTACCAGGCAGTCCGAAGCCTCCTCCAATCACAATCACTCTAACCGTTGGGGCAAAAGAGCTACAAAGAAGCAGCCTCTTTGCCTACAAACGGTTAGCAATTTGAATTTCCTGCCTTTTTCTGTTCCTAACTAGAAGCTCCGGCTGCAAGTCGAAGCAAAATTTTGCGGCCGGAGCTGGTCATAACTCAAAATGGTCGTAAGTCAGGACATTCGTAAGTCGAGGCACCACTGTATATCATACCCCTTTTAAAGCCTTCCAGGTTGGTTGCCTTCACTACATCTAATGGCAATGAGTTCAGCAGTTTAATCAGTGCTGTGTAAAATACTTTATAGTAGCTTCAAATCAGCAACCCTTGCACCAGTTCCTGATTTGAATGAATGTATAGTGAACAAAAGACCCATTAAAATAAAACAGCCAAAATGTAGGTACAGTATAAAAGACTTACATGGCTTAGAAGCAGGTGAAAAGCCTCCCAATGTTGAAAGAGCTGGCGTTCCATCTGGGTTTAATCCTTTTGCTTTTAATTTAGCTTCCTGAAGTGCCATTTTTCTTTTTTCTACTTCCTTATCAAGTAAATCATAGTTAGGCTGCAAAGAAATAGAGTCCACAATCAGACTTTTACCTAACTAACATGTGTCTGCACATACTGCTTTATTTTGCCTAATATTCTCTTCAATACTGAACTTAAGACAGTTGACTGACTGGCTATATGTTTGGAAGAAAAACATGAATGCCACCTATGTTAAACAGCAGCTTCTATATAGTCAGGAGATACCCAAAATATGCAAGATATAAACGGACTGTACATGTTTCTCAATCAAATCCAGAATTCTGTTATGAATGGTTAACAGATCACAGGTGCAATGCTCTGCTCGATCTCCAGCCCACAGCTGTGAGAGCCAGAAGAAATCCCTTTCAAATCAACGGGACTTTGTATTTGCAAGGTGGCAGTGACCTGCTCAACGTCTTTTTATTAAGTTGGAAAGAAACTGATTTGGGTTGGGAGGGGTATTCTAGCTTGAGGATACTGTCAAAAGACCTGTGAAGCTTTCAGAAGAAAATTCTGGAGGAAAAGGCTGGAGAAGGAACTGAGCTGTTCCCCATCTCCTGAACTTTTAAAGGGGGAAAGCAGGATTAGGCAGATAGAATTGGCAAAATTACCAAACTTCCTTCCCTGCTCCCCGAAGAAATGTTTCTGGAGGAAGGAAAAAAAATTAAATCCACTTTCACATTTAAAAATGCTAAGATTTCAGAAGGACAGCCACTTGCAATGCAATCCCTCTAGCACCATATGTCCTGTGTAAAACAAAAATGCCTTGGGATGTGTGTTTTCTTTGCCCTTTCCTGAATTTGTCCCATAACTGCTTTAACCTGTATGGCCTCTACGGAAGGCGAGATGGTGTCCTAATACAGCCTTGTGGCACAGTCGTTAAATCGCTGTACTGCAGCCAAAACTGGGCTCAAGACCTGGGGTTCAATCTCAGGTAGCTGGTTCAAGGCTGACTCAACTTTCTATCCTTCCGAAGTTGGTAAAATGAGTACCCAGCTTGCTGGGGGGGCAATGTGTAGCCTGCACAATTAACTTGTAAACCACCCAGAGAGTGCTTGAAGTGCTATGGGATGGTATATAAGCAGCACACTTTGCTATGCTAAACAAAAGCACACCTCCTAAGACAGAGAACATAAACTGTTGTCCTTCAGATTTTGAGACTTCCACAATTCTCACCATTGATTTTACTGCTTGAGGCATATGAGCCTTATAGACAAAAACATCCAGAAAGTATCATGCAGCCTACTGGTCATGAAATCCATGCAACATTTTGTTGGTAGTCCTACATACAAATATACTTTTAAAATTACTGTACCTTCTTTCTAGTGTACAGCTTAAGTGTTGTTAAACATATCTCCTGAATATCTTCTTCAGTAGCCCCAAAAAGCAAAAACCAATGAGGTCGGTTAGGCAAAGGAATCTAAAAGACAAAACATTGCAAAGGTGACAAATCTCAATAGAATCAATTTCATTAAGGAATACTGACACATACAACCACTGAGCAAAAATAGGAATCGGGCAAGTACTTACTTGTAGAGCTCTAGCAGCAAGATAAATACAAGCACATGCTATGGTCTCTGGCTGAAATCGAACAAAAACATTGGTTCGAAGGCTATCGTTCATGTAATTCCTGAAAAATAAGAATTTAAATGTGCTTCAAGTTCTAAGCCTATCCAAAAAACAAACAAACATGACTTTGGAGACTCAATCTACTTTATTATTTTTTCTTCATCTTTATTTTAACAATTTAGATTCCATTCTGTTAAGTAATGTGCCTTACATGTGGCACATTATGAAGACAGATATAGCTTAAGAGCAGAAGTGCTTCAAATGCCCATGGACCACAGTAACAAGAAGTTTCTTGTCATCTCTCTAGATACTCAAATAGGACAAGCAGTGTTTTACTCTGAACACAGTCTTCACCACGATGAATACAAGTCAACATTAAGACTTTATAATGATTACGTGGTTCAGATCTATTTAGTTCAGATTTAGGAAAGTTCTATGAAGTGTCCATCAACCTCTAAAACAGTATGTTCCATCACCAAGATTTTTTTAAAAAAAGGTAATAGCACATATTAACTTAATGTACTTAAAATGCTAAATTCAGACTAAGATACCTTCTACAGCATGTTTGTAGCCACAAAAACATATAATTAAATGCACCATCCATGACATGATGTAAAAACAGTGTATCTAGAGAATATGATGCAACTATTAAGCACTGCTGTTTGCTGTTGATTCTCCTATCCAAATCAACAGATTTGTCTGGAGTTTGCCAGATGTTACATTTTTAGCAGTGGCTTCAATGGACTTCAACCTACTGCATACAAGATTTCAGCCTCTTGGGGGACTTGAAAAATTTACAAAATTAAGGAGTCTTGCACAGCTGTGGTACAGAGATCAGCTATAAACATACTGTAGAATCATGTTCTAAGAATTTATAAGCGTTACTTGCTACATCCCACTGCTTCTCAAAATTGCTGCTTTGGAATTTAGTAACACAATTTCATCTCTAAACAGAAGGGACAAATCCAAATATCCCATATGAACTACTGTTGGTATCTGTTACATTGGAAAAACTGTGTTCAATAAGCAGACAGTATATAATTAAGACTGTGATAACTGCTTGCATGCATCCCATGAAAAATAAAAAAAGTCTATGCTATTAAAATCTAAAATGAGACAAAATGGGAAAAGCAGTTAATTAAATATCACACTTGATAAAACTAAACTCTACAATAACTAGAAAAACAAATATACAGTTCATGATATGTATGTTGAGTAGATACTTCTAAAATCCAATATACAAATCCTTTTGACACCCCGACAGAACTAGAAGCTGCTGCCAGATGGATATGGACCACTTCAGTAAATCTCGGCTGAGAGCTTGCACTGGATTGGCTGGAGAGAGAGAGGCAGCCAATCAGGCCATCCTCAGGTCATGAGCTGTGGTGCAGAGGGCAGAGTTCTATGACTTACCATCAGGGACTACCCTTTAATTAAAGAGTAGAAAAAAGAAAAAAGTTAAATTGAGTTCTCCAATATAATGTGTTATGCAAGCCATGAAAATAGTAAGCAGAAAGCAAGCGTCATTCTATATGATGTTCATCTAACTTACAATTTATTGTCTGGTATATTGGACAGCAAGCTTGCTTTTTCTGCTACTATTTTCTTGGCAAGGAGAAAGAAGAGAATAACTTACCAAGCGGTTTGAACGAGGGTTTGATTACGTTCACATTCTAAGACTTGCAAGTACATAACAATTATCTAAAAATGAAAAAAAGAAATAAGTTAGTATTTCAGTGTTAATAATATACTCAACTCACATTTATTATGAGCAAAAATGAAAATATTTTCATCTTTTATTAAGACTTATTTCTACCCTCAAAATCAAAATCCATTCTACTTTACTACTAGTAATATCACCCTCTCCCCAGACTTGTACAATGATTTTTACCTTTCCTGCCACCATTAAGAGACACGTACAGTTCATTATACCGACCAGTATTCTAGCAGACTCACCTTATGTGGATGCTTGACATGAACACAAAATCCCAATTCCTTCAGCACCCTTCTTTCTGCTTTGATTACTTGATTTTTGGTGTTTATGTAGTTCTGATCAAGTATCAGTGGGCTTGGAGTCCTACAGTTTGTAAGAAATAGAGTCAAAACGGTTTTTTATATCGAAGACAAGAGGCTTCCTTTTTCCCTTCCAACCAACTAATGGCAACAGAAACCAGATTTTAAACTCCTGCAAACAAGTTTAAGCTTTAATCTTGTGCTGTCCAAGTTAACTAAATTTACTACCTAAAGCTATATTATTTTTAAAAGTTTTGTTGTCTTCTCTCAGGAAGTAAAATAACAAAACCAAAGTTGCTTCACTTCATGTAATAGCACAGTGAGCTTCAAGATGAAATGCCAAGAAACCTTCAGGGAGAAAAAATGTAGTCAAACAATCCATGTGTAAAAAACTGAATTCTTAATTGAGTAATACATTTTTTTACATTGCCAAAAGGTTGCAAACCGTCAGTAATCTTTTATGGCAGAATTCCATTATCTGGAAAGAAACGTAACAGTGCATTCACTATTCAAGTTACCACTCCAAGTACCCACATCTGTAAAATAAACGTGTTATGAAAGAGAAGATTAAAACAAAACATATTCGATTTTTCCTTAGAATATCCACAGCATGTTCAATTTTTTCATCTAGTTTAGTTTTTTAAAAAAGCAGTTTAAAACACAGTATTCTAACTACTACTTTATTCTACTCCTATCTCTCCCCATATACAGATCTGTCACACTTCATGTTTATAACACAAATTAGACATTAACTTAGGTTGCTGCATGCTACTTGGCAAATTTTCTTGGCAAACCAATTTAAATGCCAGATGATTTTAAAAATTGAGGTAATTTCAAAATAAATTATCAGAAATATCAATGTGCTAAAGTTACTTTTTTTAAAAAGTTGCCCATGGATCAATACAATGTCATTAACCCACTTTCTTTAAGGAAAATAAAATGTTGAAGACTACCATTTCCCTGAAAATAAGACAGGGTCTTATATTAATTTTTGCTCCAAAAAGAGCATTAGGGTTTATTTTCAGATGTTTTATTATTTCATGCACAACAATCTACATTTATTCAAATACTGTCATGTCATCTTCTGGTTGCTGCACAATGGTGGAGGCCAGGGTTTCACTTAACTGGGGCTTATTTTTGGGGTAGAGCTTATATTACGAGAATCCTGAAAAATCATACTAGGGCTTATTCTGAGGTTAGGTTTTTTTAAGGGGAAACAGGGTATATAAGCATGCAGTTAACACATTTCTATATCAATTAGTGGACCTACATATAACCTGTTTTGTGTAATACTATACATAACCTAAACTATTTATATACTAGTTTTTTGTACATACTACATACTCCTGCCTTGACTTTCATCATTTTCCATGCTGAAACGTAAATTGTACTTCTTCATGGAAGGAACATTTTCCTTCATATTTTGAAACATCAAATAGGATCTGTCAAATTTCAACTTTAGCTTTTGTAATATTTGGCATTCAACACACTAAGCTGACTGAACAGTTTAAGGGGCCTTAAAGGAAACAAAGAATTTTTCTACACTAGCTGGGGAAAAATGCTACTTTAAAATAATAAAATTATTTTATTCATGCCTTCTATACAAATACTATACAAAGTTTACATCACCATAGTAGCCCCCCCCCAGCTTAAAATATAAAGAGAGATAATTGATACCCATCTTATTTGGTTCTTTATCAATTTCTCTGTCAGCATTTCTTGGTAGGACACTACTACACACATAATACTTTTATAGTAAAGCTCACTAGATATACAGCCTGACATAACTACAAATACCCAAGTGCTATCACGCCAGAGATAACTTAGACCCACTAAATTCCTGAATTAATCCAGGCAGAACAGGCTATACAATTCTATGCCATCTCCCATCACAAACTGTTCTTGTGCTCAAATCGTGTTCAATTTAGGGATCCATCAAATATTTGCGTAATTACATAACATATTAAAGAAGCAAAACTATTTCTATGATTTCTTGATAGTCTAGCAAAGTGAGTTGATTTAGTAAAATATTCTTTCTGCTTGGACTTGGGGTGAATTTTTCACAGGCAAATTCATAGCCCTAAATCTACATCCTCTGCCGTCCATTTTTTACAGAAAAGCATAGCTAGTTATATTTACAACACTAAACATGCACATTACTAAATGCCTGAAAATATGTTTTCCCTCTTTAGCCTCCAGTAACTAATTTTAACTTCTCAAATGGACGTGTTAACTATTTTTGAATTTTATCTTTGATAATTTGTTTCCTATGAGAACTATATTTTATGGAGAAAAGCACTTGTTTTTTAAAAAAAGCACAAGCTATCTGTGAACAGCCATGGAAAGATTTTAGAAAGCCAGGTATCCTAAGAGAAATGGAGATAGCAGTCTTTCCAGAAAAACAACATGTACTTATTTTAACAGCACTAGACAATATCTAGATTACTCATGTTAGTGAGTTTTATTTCTAGAAATATATACTGCAACCATTAGGGCAATAAAAACTATTAATTCTGGTAATTACCAATTTTTATTGGTCTCCACAGTTTGCCAAACAAGATATTAAAGTGTACGAAAGAGATGTATGCTCCAAAAAGATAGGAAACTACATTAGAGTTCATTTTATCCAGAAAGCATTCAAACTGTGATGCACGGTAAATGCAAACAAGGGGTAACAGTATGTGTAGATCACCCCAGTACAAAAAATAAAAAGGACATGCACATGTCATATATCAGTACCTACAATTGCTATATTTACATTTCATAGACCTAATTCTACATGAATGTGATAGACAGCAAAGACAATTACTTAAGAGTTGCTGTAAGAAGTGTATAACTATAATGGAAAGAGTGTAAACTAAAGAACAGTAATTCCTGTATATCTAATAGCATCAATAATCAGAATGGCCCAACATTTGCAAATGATATACCCAACTTGAAAAGAGAGAACTTTCAAAGAAGCTATAGAGTTTAATGTAATTTGGGAGTATCAGCAATCTCAGTTTCAAATTCACTGAAGAGCCAGGTTCAGAGGTCAATGCAGACAATATCAAATTAAGTACACACTAAAGGTAAAGGTTCCCCTTGACATTTAGTCCAGTCGTGTCTGACTCTAGGGCATGTTGCTCATTCCCGTTCCCAAGCCACAGAGCCAGTGTTTGTCCGAAGACAGTTTCCGTGGTCATGTGGCCAGCACAACTAGACACAAAACAGTTACCTTCCTACCGAGGTGGTACCTATTTATCCACTTTTTACATGCTTTCAAACAGCTAGGTTGGTAGGAGCTGGGACAAGGGACGGGAGCTCACTCTGTTGCATGGATTCTATCTTACGACCACTGGTCTTCTGACCTTGCAGCACAGAGGCTTCTGTGGTTTAACCCGCAGCACCACCACATCCCTAAGTACACACTAACAAGGGAGTAAATTCCATTCATGGCTAGACTTACAAGTCTGCTGTTGAAAGTCTGCTATACACAGTTGCTTAAATACCTGACACTGTTCAGAACTACAATTTGGGGGAACATGCTCATCAATTCAGCAAACATTTACTGTATCTTAAAATGCAGGTGTTATGGCTACCTTTAATATAACTTCTGACTGCAACGAAAACTTTTCACTCGTATACAGTTCAGTGTTCAATCCTTAATCCAGTTGAATCTTCCAAGATATATAACTGCTGCCTTCTGGCTCTCTCTTCTGCATCCTGTGTTTAACTAATTTGAGGGACACACAGAAGGAGCATCCCTGAAGAAAGTGAGAAGTATGAGCACATTAAGGTGTCCCCTGGGCAACAGCAGCACCCTGTTGATCAATCCTTCCAGTTTGGAAGCATCACTGGATTGCTTCTGACACAAAGACGAAAAAGACTTTGAAAGATGTCAAGTGTCCATGTGCAGTAATACAACTACATACAGTATAAGCATACAGGATGCAATGCATTCATAACAGCTTCAGTGATGCTACTTTTTGATCACAGTGTTCTTTAAAACAATCAGCCTAGGACAAATCTGTGGGCAACTTTCAGTATTGTCTGCATTTCCAAAGCAATCCTGCTAACTTTATTATAGCAAATTCATCTCATTTGATGGTTAATACAAAAAACTGTGTTACACAACCACCAATGTCTGCCTTGGCAGCAACAAACCCCACAACTTGCTTTCTGCAGTCCTTTTAACTGACATTCAGGTGATTGAAACTGGGAACACTGCAAGCAAAGCAAGTGCTCCACAATGAAATCCCTAATAATATGCAGCTGACTAGTGCTGATATTGAAGCAAAAATCCTTTTAATATGAAAGTCTGCCTAACTACAATGCTCTAAAGTTAACAGAAATCTTTAATTTCACATTACTACAAAACTGTAAATGAAATATTAAATATACATACAAAATTTGCAGTTATACTAAATATCTACTTGTACGTTTTCCAGATTTTGGTACCCAACAGTACAATTGTGAACTGCTTTCAGGGCAGAGATTTTGCTGTATTATATTTCATAAATCAAAAGGCATTAAACTCCAACAGAATAAGCATAACATCTCTAGGTATACTACATGAAATTCTCAGACATTTAAGCTTATTTGCAAAAACCTGGACAGCAAAGATAAAAGCTTAAAACAAGATACAGGAGTTCTTCCAAATGGTTCACCAACGGCCAACCTGTCAGTCCCCGATTCCAGTGACCTATGCTCAGAGCACTGGCTTCTCCTTGGGGATTTTCCATACGTCACTCACTGTTGCCATGACGACAGCTTCATCTTTATGAACCACTCCACATCACCCAGGCTTTGGTAAATGTAGCTGGTCGCTGTATAGTCGGTTGCAAGGGAAAAAAGAGTTGAAGTTAATAACATGTACAACTGATTTGTTTGTAAAATTGTAACACGCACAGAAAAATGTTTACATCCAGTTCTAAAAATGAACCTTCAAGATTTAATACAGTTCTAGAATGTACAGACAGTATTTTATTTAGGTTAGTTAGCAAGAAAGCAAGTAAAAAAAAATCTGTTTGAATGTGACATTACTGGCCAAAAAGCATGCAAATGGCTGATGTACCACTTCTTAAAAGACAGCCCTTTTTTTAAAAAAAGGTAAGTTGTTAAACCAACACTGAAGTATTTTGGTCTTATTCTGGCTAACCAAAAAGTTTTTCTGAGTTATTTGTCAGCAGTAATGCTTAAAATTGTGAGACTCAACAAAGCCTTAATTGCAATTGTGTTATTGAAAAACGATAAACGTTTTACTTATTTAAAGATATTTGTATGAAAATTAAGCAATATTAATGCATATACACATTGCCAAAGCAGAAACTGAACATCGCTTTTTAAACACCTAATGTGGGCTAGATATGATCTCATCCTGAAGACACAAATTTATCTGCCCCATAATCCCACACTGCATAGTGGAAAAACCCCAAACCAAAAGCTTCAGTAAATTGTTGAGAGATTACTTTGTTCCTACAAAGACAGCTTCAGGCAACAACACCCAAGTCACACAACACATACTTCTGTTACGTATACTTTCCTGTAAGCATTTAACCTTTCCTTGGATTAAATACTCCATTTAAAACTTTATATCTAAAAACTGTACAATTCTACAACAATCACAGAAGCATACACACAACAATTGGACTCATCTGATTTATAGGCAATCATGCTGAATGACAGCCTTGTATGTCATTCTAGGACCACATGACCTCCAGGATTCCTCTGATTACATCTTGAAGATACCATTAAAGCAGGTATATGCTGTAAACCAAACCATGCTGTCAACTTTCCCAACACTATCAAATGCTACCACAAGCTTTCAAATGGTTAAAACGTTAATCTCCTAAAAGACTCTAGATGTAAAACTGCTGCACTTAACATGTGTAGCCAACTATACTACCTAGTCAATTCTTGCACGGGGGTTAGCATTTAATAAAATGTCACTACAATGAATTTTGCTACAAATCAAATGACAAGTCAACCAACACAAGAAGGCTGAGAGTCACTAGCCAGATCTTATTCTTCCTTCGGTATATTTCAAGATCTACTCATCTAGCAATAAATACTCAATGGACCGTACTACTAAAACACATACAAGCAAATTTAAAAAAAACCACAACATATCAACTAGCTAAAGAACTGTTTATGCAGTTAAAAGCTTACCCCACTCCACCTAAGTCATGCCTATCCAGCCAGAACTTCCAGAGTTGGGCTACATTACAACAATGGAGCACAAAGTGGTATACTGCATGTATCAAAAAAGGAACAGATCTTACCTTTTAGCTCTTATCTGGCGCAAGTGATGGAAAACATTGATCACATCTCTTATGCGACGTGGAGCTTCTTCAATTTTGGAAGCAAGATTGATGCATGCCATAGCAACAATCTGGAAAAAAGAACCATTGCCATGAAAACATATTTATAAATTGAATCAACAACTGCAACTTATTATAATTACACAGAATAGGATTTGGAATTGGGGCTCTTGCCACAAAAGATGGCAACCGAAGGCTCATCAGAAACAACCAGTATGATCTAGAAATTGTATTTTTTTTAAAAGGGTGAGACAAAATTACTGTCCTGAAACAAATAAGTAACAATAGTAACAATAATAATAAATACACTGGGCATGGGACCTGTTACTAGGGCAACTAGATCTATTCCACCCTGTTCTCACACTCTTAGAAGAAAAACACACTTTAACATCAAAGGTTTCCCACACTCACCTCGAAGCTGTGTTTGACAAAGGACTTGGAATAGAAAAAGCGGTGAAACAGCACCTGCCCGGTTGCCATCGCCACCTACGAAGACAATCCCCAGGCGGGGAAAAGAAAAAAACATCAGCCATGTCAGTAACAGCCGAGAAGCGCATGCGCGGAGACCAGAGCACGCATTCCCCCCTCCCTTTCCTGAAGCGGCGTCGAAGCCGCGCCTGTCTCGTAGGCCGAGGTCGTTCAACGGCCGCCATTTTGTGTCCAGCGCCCTCTCTTTGCTGTCCCCTCGCACGTCAGGCCTAAACGCCTTTCTGAGGCAGCGCCCTCCCCAACCCTCTCCGGACGGACGTTCAACACATATCCTTCTCCTCCCTCCCTGCCCTCCACACCCTCAGGCAACCGAGAGAAAGCTCGTGGGCCGAACACGAGGCCGCAGCGGCCTCTCCTTAAGTCTACCGAAGTAAGCCACCCGGCGACCCTCCTCCCCTCCCTCGTCCACAAGGCCCTACTTTCGCTGACCTGCGGCAGGCGGAGGAGGATGCCTGCGGACTGGATGAGTTCGCAGCCCAGGATCCGCAGGTCGGTCTCGGTGTGGAGGTCCAGGCCGTCCTGCATGGAGGGCGTCGGCGAGAGCCGCTCTTCGGGAATAAGCGAGTGGCTGATCGTCAGCGACACCTCGGAATAGAGCCGGTCCCCGATCAGGATCCCCGTCGGGGCGGGCGGTGGCCCTGAGGCGTGCGCGGCGACGGCAGGCGAAGGATGACTCCCAGTAGAGGCCATGGCGAACTACCAGAAAACGCACGTCCGACCGCACCCGGAGCCGGCCACGCAGAGAATAACCCGTTGGCGCCCGGCGCCCGGTGACGCAGCACTGAACGGTGCACGCTGGGAAAAAAAGGAGTCCTCCTAATCCCCTCCCCCCCTTATCCGCAAAGCGAGAAGCACGTTCTGTACTTTTCTCGCACGCGGACGCGCCTCCTCCCTCCCCCCCTCCGTGTGATGTCATCAGCGCCAACGGCCAGTGGGGGCGGGGGATGCAGGAGAGAGAGAGAGAAAGAGCGCGAGAAAGAAAGGCAGGAGGGCGCGCGCGCGCACTATCAATATCGAACGCGGCCAGCCACGTTCGCCTCAGCGTAGCAAAGATCAGTCGCGTTGATGTAAGAAATGGAAGCCTGGTCGAGGAGGCCGAGTTTTCAGGCTATAGAGGCGACTGACTGTTTCATTTCCTTAGGCCTTGCTAGTTTTTAGCTTCTGTCATTAATAAAAATAGGTTGTCTGTCTGCTCTCTGCAGCTAGAAAGCTAGCTCACTGGGGACCGAATTTTTAGTGGACTTCCTGCTATGTGACCTTTCTCTATGCAAGGATTATCTGGAAAGCAGAAAAAAATACAAGACGCTGGTCAACTGTGAAAAAAAAAGTACCAGTACTTCACAGACTCATTTGTCATTTGGGGACTTGTGTGGATAACTTGTTTAGCCAACATTAATTGGCCCAAGCATACAGTAAACATGTTAGTTCCCATATGGGATGCCGTAAACTCATATAGTTGACTCGGGAGATCACCTAGTGACTAGAACTAAATTCTAGTTGAACCCCCTGCTCAGTAGAGGATCTGTGATGCAGGCTGCACCCATATTATCCCGATAAATCTTTTAGCCTCTGCTTAAATGCCTCCTAGTACAAAGGTCCTCTGTACACATACTAATTAAATGTCCCCCATGAGATATAAGTCAGGTCAATAGAGTCTCCATATCCTCAAAGTGTAATGCATTCTAACCACTATAACAGTTGCACAACATAATACTTGCACATGTAAAGTCAACTGCAACATGATTATATCTGCATAGAATAAAAGTGCAGCCAGTCTCTCATACAGTAATGTGGTCATGGGCCTTCACCTGACGGAATGAACCCCATGTTCTTGCAGAGCTGTTCTGTATAAATATTGATTAAAACAGTGCTTTCCGTTCTTAAAGTAGGCTGGATAGCTCAGCAGTTTAGGCATGGGGATAAGGAGCCAGTGGTTGAGAGTTCAATAGCCCACTGCACCTCCTGTCCCAGGTGGCCCCAGAAGAAGTGATGGTAAACTACTCCTGAGTACAGTGGGGTCTTGACTTGAGAACTTAATCCGTATTGGAAGGCGGTTCTCAAGTCAAAAAGTCTGTAAGTCAAGCCGTCTGTAAGTCAAGGGTCCACTGTATTCTCTACCTGGGAAACCCTGGAAAGGGTCGCCATAACCGTTCACGAGAAACAGTAATTCTTTTCATTGGGGCACATATAGGAGATACAATGATTACCCAACGTTGCTCAACTGTAACTCCAGTCCTCGCAAGCATATCCAATGGTGCGGGATGAGGGAAGGCCACACTTTCCCCATCTTTACTAGTTCAGGGGAGAAACTGTGCCAGGTCAAGCCTTCTTTGATTCCATGCCGCTAGGAATCGAGGTGGTGCTGAGCCTGCGGTCAGCTGGCGGCGAATGAAAAACAGCCGCTGTGTATTCCAGATGTCTGTTTCAAACGTGTTACATCTCCCATTTTCTCTTCTACTGCTCTGATCTCTGCTTGCTCTGTAAACTGATGCTGGCTTCCTCCCTTCCCGACTTTTCGCGTCCCTTCGCGTCACTCAGGGCGCACGTGGGAAATTTCCAGCACCGATGTCATCACTTCTCTGAGTCATTGCCGTCACCCGGCCAGTCTCCTTCCGAATTCTTCCTGCAGAACAAGCTGAGAGTTCTTCCAACAATTACCAGATGAAGCCAGATGAGCAAGCAGATCACATTGTGTTTCATAGGGTAGTCCTTCACCCGGATCCATTTTGGTGTCCTCATTCTTTTTCAAGGCACTACAGAGTGACTTGGCTGGCTGGCTGGCTATGGGATTAGAAAAACAGGAGAAAACGTATTAACTGGCAAGGGTTTTTGATCTCTTGAACAAAACAGGCTGTGCCCTAGAACAGTGGTTCTTAACCTTTGTTACTCGGATGCTTTTGAACTGCAACTCCCAGAAACCCCAGTCAGCACAGCTGGTGGTGAAGGCTTCTGGGAGTTGCAGTCCAAAACTCCTGAGTAACTCAAGGTTAAAAACCAGTGCCCTAGAATGTTCATTTGTGTGGTGCAATAGTACCAATTTAGAGACTTCAGGACCGTATTGAGGGGGCGAATTTAGGAGACACCTGGAGACAGCTTGGTTTAGGAGTGATTTCTGGCTCTGATGTGATTTAAGAAGCTTTTTATTTAATAAAAACAGCGGTGGAACATGCAGGAACTAAATGAAAGAGCAAACTGTGGAAATAGTATGAGAAAGAAACAACTGAAAAAAGCCAACAGAACTGCAAAGCAAAAAGATTCACAACCACGTTGACAAATGCAGTTTTAAAAACTGGTATTCTCCCTCTTTCTCTGCCTTAGCAAATGCCTGTTCCTTATTCCAATCATCAGCTTGGAATCAGTTCTTGGAAACAGTCTGGGCTGCTTTTTTAGATTGGGAGATTTGGAGGGGATGGTAACCCAAAAAGTAACTTTTCCAGCTGGTTGGAAGAGGCTTGAGATGTCATTAAGCTTTAATTTAAGCAGAAAATGTGTGCTCAAAGCCTTTTCATAAGCCATTTAGATCAAACATGAAGGCTGAGTTCTGTTGTTTAATTTGCTGTATGTATGTATGTATGTATGTATGTATGTATGTATGTATGTATGTATGTATGTATGTATGTATGTATGTATGTATGTATGTATGTATGTATGTATGTATATTCATGCTCTACCTCCTTGTGGTTCAAATGAGACTCTGGAGGCATTCCGGTTACAAAATCGTAACTACTCTTTATTGGATCGTTTAACAATAAATCTTGTTGCGTAATCTTAACGTCAACTTTCTCTCTCATCACCAATGGGTCCGGCGAGGGCATCTAAACAACCTTAACAAAAGGGTTATTAACCAAATGGTCCCAAGTTCATGCTCTACCTCCTTGTGGTTCAAATGAGACTCTGGAGGCATTCCGGTTACAAAATCGTAACTACTCTTTATTGGATCGTTTAACAATAAATCTTGTTGCGTAATCTTAACGTCAACTTTCTCTCTCATCACCAATGGGTCCGGCGAGGGCATCTAAACAACCTTAACAAAAGGGTTATTAACCAAATGGTCCCAAGGTCTGCTCAAGAACGGATTACTGCCCTCCAGGTCATGAGGTTCTGCCTCTGAGTTCATAAGTAGGGTGGTCTCATTGTCTTGTATCTCCGCTCTGCAGACGACCTCTTCTCCTCGTAGAGGGGTCGAGGGCCCGTTAAGTAACCCCTCTTCTGGGTTTCCTCCAAATGCCATTCCCGACGTTCTCTTTCTTCCCTGGACACTGCTTCTTTCTCTTCTGGCCTAGATGACTCAATCTACACCACTCTCTGGCCTCCGACTCACCCCAATAAGAAGGACATTGTGATAACCCCCTCCTTCTCCGATAATCGGCTTCCTCTCGAGGAACCCACACCTTTTCCCATTTACCAGTCCACGGGTCCTCTACCCATATCAACTCCCAACCCACCCACCCCCCGCATATCAAGTCAACTTGTCCTTTTATATCTCTCATTCCCGCCTCCACAGCGGACCTCCCCCTTTCTTCTCTTCCCACGAATTCACCACCCATCTGTGTGGCCACTGTCATTTTCAACAGTTCCTGCTCCAACTCCCGGGTATCCACTCCCTGCTGTTTAGTCTCGATGGCGGGGGGGGCAGGCAGGTTTGT